CCACTACTGCCTGGCTAAATTTATCTATATTAAGCAGGAAAAAGCAGTTCTTCAGTTCTCAGATCTGACCCTTAGTGTCCTACAGAGTATCCTGTTTCTTTGCTACTACCCAGAAATGCTCTGAGTGTAAAACTGTCCTGTTTCAGCAGCACTGGGGAGACAGACAGGAGGATTTTTTTTTATTACATTGATTTATTTATGTGCAAGGGGAAGGCATGTATGTGTCATGGTGTACATGGAGCTCAAGACCAACCCGAGGAGTTTGTTTTCTCTCCATCCCATGGGTCCCAGGGGTCAAACATAGTTCCTCAGGCTTAGTAACAGACACTCCTACCTCCTGAGTCATCTTGCTAGTCTCCAGCAAGATCTTGAGTTGAAGGCTAGTTAACACAATTAGGTCCTGTCTCCAAAAAGCCAAAAATAAGAAAGAAATGATCCACTTCTTTTTTCAGAAACACAGGCTGATTATTCTGTCTCAAAATTTTCCTTGGGGGCTGGGGAGATGGCTCAATTAGTAAATTGCTTGCTTACTAAGGTCAGATCTCAAGCCTACATAAGAGCCTGGCATGGTGGCTGGCATGCATCTATCAGCCCAGAGCCATCTTACTAGCCCTCGTGTGTGTGTGTGTGTGTGTGTGTGTGTGTGCATGCACCATGTAGTAAGTGCAGCACAAAGGCCAACATTGGAGTCTATTTGCTATGTGCGATTTGGGACTCAAAACTAGGTCTTTAGGCTTGTTGGGAAGCACCCCTGCCTACTGAGCTATCTGCCTGACTCAAGTTTTCATGTCTTAATCACTGACATTTTGAGAGGGCTCAAAGATTGAAACAGGCTCTGCCTGTCCCCTCTCCAAAGAGCCCTCTACCTGCACTTAGGGTGGTCTTTAGCTACCATTCAAACCTCTTGTCTCTGCTTGTCCACTGGTGCCTGGTTTAGGAGGACTGCAAGGCGGCCATCTTCATTCTCCTCACCCTGCCCTAGCCCTCTTCAGTTTTCAGCCTCCAAAAGTGGGCCAGGTGTTCCTGATGTCTTCCTGCGGGTGCACAGCTGAGCTGCAGCTTGTGTTACAGGGCAGTCCCTTAGTACATGCTCTAGGTTGAAGGGCAGCTCCCTGCCAGGAAGAGGTGGGCGGCACAAGCACTCCTCTGCCTGCCCACAGTCCTCTGGATTTCCCTCCCCTCAACCCAGAGCTTACTTGTTGTTGCTGAGGACAGCAAGTATGTATTGTACTTTACAATCTGGACCCCACCGTATCTCCTCCACTTCTGCAGTAAGGAAAGTGACACTTGTCCCAGACTGCTGCACAGGCCAGTGAAAGTCACCCACAGAGGGCCCGTAAGATGGCTCAGCAGGCATGTGCTTCTAGACCTTACGACCTGAGTTAGATCTGCAGGACCCACGTGGTGGAAGGAGAGCTGCAGCTCCCGCAAGTTGTCCTGTGACCTCAGCACATACACTGTGGTCTATGTGTGCCCTCTCCACGTAGTAAATAAATATAAAGAAATATTTTTTTTTTTAGGAAAAAAACAAGAAAGTGGTTGCTCATTAAGTGCTTAGGCCATCCCCAGTCCCTTATATGTGAAGGTAGCCACACTGGTGTTCTGTGGCTTCTCTGGTCCTCCCCTGGAACCTCTACTTCCTGTACAAGATTCACTGATCATGGCCTCATGTCTGATTCTCGGCAGCCGCTCTAGCACCTACCCCTACCCTGAGACGCCGATCTACACACAGCCAGCAGGCACCAGCTACTATGAGGCTTCAGGCACAGCCCCCCAGGTCAGCACACCCGCTACTTCCCAGACTGTGGCCAGCAGCGGCTCAGTGCCCATGTATGTGTCCGGCAGCCCGATTGTCGCCAGCTCCTCCAGCAGCGAGGCTGGGGCCAGCAACAGCAGCGTGGGTGCAGGGGGCAGCGGGGGAGGTGGCAGCAGTGGCAGCGGCAGCGGCAGCGGCGGCAGCGGTGGAGCAGGCACCTACGTGATCCAAGGCGGCTATATGCTAGGCAACGCCAGCCAGTCTTACTCCCACACCACCCGTGCCTCACCAGCCACAGTAAGTGATGCAGCCCTACTTAGAGGAAATGGGAGGTGCGCACTCGGGGTGGGAGTGGGGTCCTTGGCTATAATCAGGGTATAGCTCTGTGGTCGTGGTCCAGTGCTCATCTGACCCAGGAGCCCCGATGTCCTATGCAGTGTAGCCTTAGATGACGCTCATCTGCTGTGTGACGCTCTGGGGACAACTCCCAAAATGTCTTTAGTCAGAATTGGTGATGTGGGCTCCTAGAGTTAGTGTTGGTGGTGCTGAATTCCAGCCCCAGTCAGGCCAGCCAATAGGAACTGTGGGTTGGGTCAGAACACCTGTCTCCCCCTTCTCCCACAGACACATCCCCTACATACCAGGGCACCCTGCTTGCTGTCTTCACTAGTTTGTTTAGTCTGTTTTAGAAGACTGCTATGAACCATGTGATTTCACAGCCCTGTGGGTCCTCAGGCACTGCTTAAAATGCACATGCCACTGGGTGTGATGACGCATGCCTTTAATCCCAGCACTTGGGAGGCAGAGCAGGCTGATCTCGGTAAGTTTGAGGCCAGCTACAGAGCAAGTTCCAGGACAGCCAGGGCTACACAGAGATGCCCTATCTTGAAAAACCAAACCAAACAATAAAAATAAAACAAAAACAAAACCCCACACATGCCAGCAGAATGAGCAGATTCTGAGGAGGCGGAGTTCTTCAAGCCTGGGGCAGACATCCCTTGCCCTGTGTGCTGTTGAGCCCACATGACTAAGGGCACTGAGAAAGTGTGTTGTGCGGTTTTTTTGGTTTCTTTTTCTTTTTCCAGGTACCTGTTTTAAAAGAATTAGATTCACAGGAAGCTATAAAAACGACAGCATGCACTGACTGGGTGGCATGTGCCACGATCCCAGCACTGGGGAGTCAGGAGCAGGATGATAATAAGTGGGAAGCGGTGGGGGGGGGGACGACACAGAGCATGGATTTCTTTCTGTAGACACACAGATTGCCGAGGCAGCTCAGTGGATAAAGGCACTGACTGTCTGAGTTCAGTTCCTGGAACTGATGTGGTAGGAGAGAACTAGCTCCTCTCACCTCCACATGCATTCCCTCCTCACACAGAATAAATAAAGGAACATTAACAAGAACAGTTGACAGAAAGGGGCTAGGAAATGGCCCTGTGATCGAGGGTTTGCTGTGAAAGCGGGAGGTTCTGAGTTCGAGTCCCCAGCGCCTCTGCAGGGGCAGAGAGGTGCCTCATAGCCAGCCAGACTTTAGTGAGAGATGCTTTCTCAAAAACACAAGGTGGGGTGGGGCTGGAGAGTTGGCTCAGTGGTTAGGAACACTGACTGCTCTTCTGGAGGACCTGGGTTCAATTCCCAGCACCCACATGACAGTTCTTAATTGTCTGTAACTCTAATTCCAGGGGATCTGACACCCCCCCTTCTGGCTCCTATGGAGGCCAGGCATGTATGGTACACAGATATACATGTAGGCAAAACACTCATACATATGAAATAAAAACAACAGAAACAAAGCAGGCAGCAGCTGGGGAAGACAAACAGCTGTCAACCTTTGGTCTGCACACACACGCTCCCGCCCCACACCTGTTCCTGTTGTCCGCTCATATGAACCCTTAAGCGCACACATAAACAAAAAGTAGTTTTAATAAAAAGGCACTGAGAAATGCACACTGCACACTTTCCTGGGCTCCCTGCTCAGTCCCACTTCTCTAACAGACAGCATCCAATCCAGAAATCTTAGTTTGCTACCAGGGGTGGTTTCTGTCTATTGTTTTTGAGACAGATCTCCCTTTGTAGTCCAGGATGGCCTTGAATTTGTGATCCTTCTGCCTCAGTTTCCCCAATGTTGGGAGTACCGCGCTTGCTGTATGTGATTGTAAATGTGGAGAGAAACCTGCCACAGTCGGTATACAGTGAAGGCTTGTCTACCTTGTGTGAGGTACTAGGTTCTGTTGGAGCAATGTGGGGGGAATTGCAGGCTGTTTAACCCTCAGAGATCTCACCTCTTCATATTTACCCTCTTCTGTCTCCCTCAGGAACCATGAATCTCTTATCTGTCTCTATAATGTCACTTCTAGATGGACTCCTAGGCTGTGACCTCAGGAGACTGGTTTTCACTCCTCCCATATTAGCAGCTTTGTCTTTAGGTAGCTGCAGGTGGCGAGTGGCGAGTGTATTGGTCAGTGCTGGCTGTTTTAGAAACTTTGAAAGACTGTAGTGCCCAGGAATACCGTGACAGGACTTGTGCCTTACAGCCGGCCAGGGTGGCTGTCTGATCCACACTGAAAGTAGTTTCAGAGCCACATGGTCTCAGAGGATGCCAAGGACTGTCAGCACTGCCCTGTCCTCTCGTCCCCAGGTCCAGTGGCTCCTGGACAATTATGAGACCGCCGAGGGCGTGAGCCTGCCACGGAGCACTCTCTACTGCCACTACCTGCTGCACTGCCAGGAGCAGAAGCTGGAGCCCGTTAATGCCGCCTCTTTCGGCAAGCTCATCCGCTCGGTATTCATGGGTCTGCGCACGCGCCGCCTGGGCACCAGGTTTGCCCCACCCCCGCCCTCAGCTGCCCTGGGCCCCAAGGGCATATGCTCTCTGCCCATATGACCCACCTCAACTCCAACGGTCTCGAACCACAGGGCCAGAACCCTCTTGCTGATGCTCACTCCACGCAGCCCTGCCTCTTGTGCCTGCCTTCGGGACGTTGCTCCTGCTGCATCTCCCTGTTCCTGTTCTTCCTCCATCTCCTTACTCGGTTATCCCTTGGCCCCACTCGTCTCTCTTGCAGTTAGCAGCTTGGGCATCATTCCATGCATTCATTCGTTCATTCATACTGTCGTTGTGATGTACTTGATCTTTGTCTTAGCTTTCTCATGTCTGTCCAAGCTTTCAGGAACACCCTCCAAAGGGTTAGGGTAAACTGGGGTTACATGCTCAGTATAAGCGCCTCACATGCCCTTACGACCAACAGCCATGAGCTTGCTTGGTGTCAGAGTTGGCAGTAAGCAGTGACTCCTGCTGCCCTGTCCTCAGTCCTGGTACCTGATAGCCTTTCTTCTTCAGTTCAGCAGGGTACCTTTTTCTGTCCAGGCCCCTAAGTGAGAGGAAAGCTGTGTGAGACCCCCCAATATCTTGCCCAGCTGGTAAAGCACTTCACCTCTTCTTCCCAGGGGCAACTCCAAGTACCATTATTATGGCTTACGGATCAAAGCTAGCTCGCCCCTGCTGCGGCTGATGGAGGACCAGCAACACATGGCCATGCGAGGCCAGCCTTTCTCCCAGAAACAGAGGTAGGAGCCTCCTGCTCTGGGACTGAGCAGGAGCTGCGAAGGCGGCTGTACCATACCACTTGACCATGCCCTAGGCAATTCTCATCACCCTGCCCATCCCCTCCCCAGGTGACTTATCCCTTCCAGGTGACCCATCACTTACTACCAACCACCCTCCATCAGTCCTCACCTGCTACCCATCCCCCACCCAGCCCATTCCCTCAAGAACCTCATCCCCACACAGCTGGGCTTACCCCCCCCCCCACCAGGTGGCTTAACCCCCTCATCCCAGCTGGCCCATCACCCCACCAGCCACCCCACTACCCCTTCCCCTCCAGGCTCAAGCCCATCCAGAAGATGGAGGGCGTGGCCAACGGTGTTGCCGTGGGGCAGCAGAGCACAGGGCTGTCAGACATCAGCGCCCAGGTGCAGCAGTACCAGCAGTTCCTGGGTGAGAGCCGATGGGCAGGGCAGTGCAGCCTGCCGGGGACTCAGGAGGGCCCATAGGGGAGTCTGTCCTTGTGGGATTGTTCTATCCCCAGAAACCTTCTCTAAGATCTCCCAACCCCATTTTGTGGGTGGGCATTTAGACAGGGTTTCACTATATAGTCCTGGCTAGTCTGAAATTCACTATGTAGACCATGCTGGCCTCCAGCTCACAGAGATTCACTTGCCTCTGCTTCCTCAGAGCTGGGATTAAAGGTGTGCGCCACTGTGCCTAGCCCACCCTGTACTTTAGAGACCAGGTCTCACTGTATAATCAGGGCTGATCTAGAATTCATGAGTCTTCTCCTCAACCTCCACAGTGCTGAGATCCCATTCCTTTCTGTAATGTTTCTGTTTGTGCGCCCAGTACAGCCTGGTAATGCTGAATCCCACACCAACAGGTAATGCCTTGGATGGTCCAACAGTGGTCCTCTAACATGACAGGCGGTCCATCCTTGTTAGTCTTCAGCTCTGTGTCCATGTGACTAGGATTAGTAACTGAGAGCGCAAGTGTGGACCAGGGTGTGTGTTCAGTCTCTACACACACAAAAGATGCAACAAGGGGAAAGCAAGTGGTAACACTATCACACGGCCACACAGTGACACAGTGGCTGGGGCGTGAAGGGAGATGTGGTACATGATGCTTAGTCAAGAGTGGCCCTGCTGACCCATGCTAACCCTGAACACTGTCCCTGTGGTATTAATAGGGCCTTTAGACCCCTGCTTGCTTGGCAAAGAAGTTGCCTTACACTTGGTGTCTAAGGAGCAGTCCGAAGCAGCACTCAGCAGGCCAGGACAAGCACTTCATATGCTCTGTGGAGGAGGCCATGGGGCCTTGGGCCAGTAGCTTACCCTGCTTGAGCCTCATCATCCACTGCATACATGGGGATGACACATTGGGAAGATGACAGGTGGCTAGGACCCCCGAGGCAGCAAGAGAGGTCGGCAGGTGGACATGGCCTCATGTTGCCCCTACCCCTAGATGCCTCCAGGAGTCTCCCTGATTTTGTTGAACTGGACCTCCAGGGCAAAGTGCTGCCTGAGGGCGTCGGCCCCGGGGACATCAAGGCCTTCCAGGTCCTGTACCGGGAACACTGTGAGGTAGGGCAGTCAGATGGTGAGTGGGTGGGTGGGTGTGCCAGCCTTGAATGCAGCTGGTTTCTGCCTTGACCGGAAGCCCCATGCTGGCCCTGCCCCATTCCCCATTGTGAAGTCCTGTCCCTGCAGGCCATTGTGGATGTCATGGTAAATCTCCAGTTCACACTGGTGGAAACGCTATGGAAGACCTTCTGGAGATATAACCTTAGCCAGCCTAACGAGGCGCCACCGCTGGCCGTGTGAGTCCCCAGGGCTTGGAAGGGGGCGACCCTGCATGTAGGGGTTACACATGCCCTTGACTGGACTTTGGGTGGGCTCCTACAGGCATGATGAGGCAGAGAAGCGGCTGCCCAGAGCCAGCCTGGTGCTCCTCTCCAAGTTCCAGCCCGTGCTGCAGTGGACCAAGCACTGTGACAATGTGCTGTACCAGGGCCTGGTGGAGATCCTCATCCCTGACGTTCTGCGGCCCATCCCCAGTGAGTGCCGGTGACTGTGCCTCTTCCCAGAAGGCGCCCCACCCACCCTGACCAGCACCCCATCCTCCACAGGTGCCTTGACCCAAGCAATCCGGAACTTTGCCAAGAGCCTGGAGAGCTGGCTCACCCATGCCATGGTGAACATCCCTGAGGAGATGCTGCGGGTGAAGGTGAGGGTTGGACTGGGCAGACAGGCTGCAGCATTGCAGGGAAGACTTGTCTGCATACCTCCTGTGTGCCTGTGAAGGCTCTTTCCCTTCAAGGGCTTTAGGGCTGGCTCCAGGCTTGTCTTATACTGTACACCTGCTGGACCCATTTCTGAGAGGCTCCCAGGGTTTCAACACTTAAAACATTATTGATTGATTGACTGACTGACTGATTGGCTGAGGCAGAGTCTTATTTACTATGTGGCCCTGGCTGGTCTTGAGTTCAGTCCTGGAATTAAAGGTATGCCCCCACCATGCCCAGCAAGACTGAATTCTGAAACAGCATAGTGAATGGTGGCCACACCTGTAGCTCCTGTGTGTAGTGAGGGGCTGCAGGGCAGGCCTGCTTTTCTCCTCACCCGGCT